TTCCAGATGGAAAATACTATCTGGAGGATGCTGGGTATGCTTTGAGCAATCATTGCCTCACCCCCTATCGTGGAGTTAGATATCACTTGCATGAGCATTATCAGTCACGTAAAAGGTAAGTTGAAATCACAAGGGATTACAAGTGTACTACTTAATGAAATATAAGTTCTAACTATATTTCACATAATAATAGGCCAGCAAATAAAGAAGAGCTTTTTAATCTCCGACATTCTCAATTACGAAATGTAATCGAAAGATCCTTTGGAATCTTTAAGCGTCGGTTTCCTATTCTGCGAGACCAACTTAAGTTCCTAATAATTACTCAAGTAAAACTTGTAGTAGCACTTGCTGGTTTTCATAACCTTATTCATAAGGAATCTCCTGAAGCAGAGCCTTTTATGGATCAATTAAATGAACAAGGTTTGATGCTAAATATTCCATTTATTCTGTAAAATATAAATATTCTTTCTGTAATACAAAGCTAACTATTAGACTATGAAGACCATACTCAAGATGAACTGGAGGGGTCGAGTGATAGACTATATGAGGGAGAGAGTGACCATGGGGATACTGATGATGAAAGTCAGGCAGAAGTAGCTGTGGAACAGGAACAGGCTTCCCCAGCTATGGGGCAAATCAGGGAGCAGATAGCCGATAAAATGTAGCAGGACTACCAGTTATATCTGGGAAGGCATGAGTTTCACTAAAGGGTCAATGTATGTAAAAAAGTAAGTTCCTATTTCTAATCTAGCTATAGGAAGAAAAAAAAGAATCTAACTTTAAAACTGGTAAAGTATGTATATCTACAAGTTATTCTATCAGTTTCCAATTTGATACTTGATCCATGCATCTCTAACTACTCCAGGTGATAATCCAATAAACACACAGGCCTTGGCCCTGTCCTCAAAGAGAGAAACTGCCTTGACCATGTCATCTACAGACAGCTTATCCGAATAGCAGTCCTCAAGGACTTTGATTGCTCTTTCATACTTTGAAGGTATTCCATACTCCCACTGATATACCATTTCATCCGTTGCATGAGTAAGTACTTTACTGAGTGATGTTTGAGAAACCTTGGTAGGTCTAGGTCGCTTTCTAGTTGGTGGAGTAATATCCAGAGAAGTAACAAGTGCAGGATCGATGGAGTCAGATAATGATGTCTGATGGCGAAGAGGATTTTGTTGTGAACTTGTAAGTGGAGAGCTATACTCAATCAGATTCTCCCAATTTCCCAGCCTACTCTGGGAATCAATGTCAAAAACTCTTGACATATTCTCCACAGAATAGGATTGGGAAATTCCAGTGGTTCTCCTGTGCTCCTCTTGACTACCTTCAGCTTGTTCAATCTGAGATTGAATAGTAGCAGTACGAGCAAACATGCCCGTGGCTCAGACTCCAAAGAACAAGCTAGCTAGCTGGTCATATAAAGAAAAGCCTTTATGTCTGTACTTTGGAGCCTCTTTATGATGCTGTTAAATAATTCCGTATAATTAGTTTATAAGACTAGTATGCAAATAGAAAGAGAAAAACTTACATTAAGATAAACTCTCCACACTTCAGCTAACGCAGTTGGCAAACCTCAAGCATCATCCCATCCAAAACCAGAATTTTGGCGGACCGTATGAACAATATCAAACTCCTTCTTAAGCTATATTGTTATCAGCTTATATATTCTCTATAAGAAAATTCAATACTTTGAGTAGAATTGATATTAACTTCCTATAACCTCCTTGCTTTTAGCTTGAGCAACTGTGAAAGATTTGGTGCTAACTTCCTTATAGGCTGCATTGAGTTCTGCAACAACACTGAGCCAAACAGACTTTTTGAATCCATTTTCTCCACGTTTACCATTCTCAACATGTCTCAGAAGAGCTTCAACCAAGAACCTTTCACTATCTTTAATCCAGACACTGTTTCCAATTTTTGTATCGTCTCTTTCTCCTAATATTATCTGTTAGCTGATATAAAGTCAAGTATTATAGAGTACTAATAGTATGGGAATAAATAACTTGCCACAGGAAAAGGGCTGAATTAGCACCGTGACAATAGAGAGCTACAAGCAGCAGACCAAAGAGTTGAATGAATCAAAGTGGAATGAGAGATGTTGTTAAGAATCCTACCGAGTAGGACCCAGCGACAGGTAACAATACTTCTCTGAGGGTAAGGTGATAGCTCTTAGGCCTATGCCTACACGATCGCAATAGTCTAGTCGGGTGACTACTATATTGTTCGCGCCTGTCTCCTTATTCTTTTCTTCAGTCCTCGCTTAGGACTAAATCTCTTCTCGTGGGACGAAAGCCAATTCTTGGGTTTCTTAAGATAAATCTTACTAGCGTAAATGTAGGTTTTATTGATAATAACTTGAAGGTAGGAAATAAACAAGAAGAACGTGTGAAGAGCTCATACTCAGGGTCCTAGTGACCTCTTTATATAGTAGCTCTTCACCTGGTATGACTCATACATCTCGTCACATGAACCCTGTGACTCATAACCCTGAGTCATGCGAAATCCATCAGACGACTCCTATGAGTTGCTGCGCAACATGCCCAAAACCAATCAAAACATAATAACCAAGTCAGGTGTGCAACTCGTGTCACCTGAGTGAAACCCATGACTCAGAAGTATGAGTCATGTACGAAAATCATAACATCGTGTGACTCACAACTGTGAGTCATGAACAGGTAAACATAATAACCTATGGTACACTAATATGCGTCATGTGAAATCCCAACATACTAATAACTCAGAAGTCTGAGCTATGTGAAATCTGCCTTGCCTAGTCACAGTTTGTGACAGATGTGGTTTGATGTATAGTTGAATGTGTAGTTTAATAGGTGGTGTTGTTGACTAGAAGATCTAGGAAGCAAACATTCAATTTTTATTATTATTTTTTTTGCATTTGCCCTAATGTTTATTTTATGACAACTGTTTCAGGGTAACCTATTGTTGTAAATCGCTGTGGAACACCTATATATTTTTTCAACACTGAAATTTTTTATTAGTATATATACCATTTTCAACTTTTATTACGATATATTTTTATTGGTACATGCTGAACAGGGCCTTAAAAAAGAAAATCAAAGACATTTATAGAATGAAATTTCTTATTGAAGTCATAAATCATGAACATCTCCTTGATTTATTATAATAAACAACTTAGCCTTCTGAATATTTTCAAAAAGCTTAGATAAACTTAATTGATCCTTAATATTCATATGTTTATACTATTCTTGAAACAGCTTTACAGCCTGCTCAGTTTTTGCAAGAGTAATTGCATTCACAGTTTGGTAAATTTGACTAAAAACAGTGGCTATGGTATGACCAGTACTTTCGTATTTATGCTATAGCTATTTCTTTAATATTATATTCTTGGTAGTTCCTGTATCCGACTCTTGCTCCTACTTAATTCTAACTTCATCTTTCTTCTCTGATTTAATAATAGATTAGTTTCCAAATTTGACTCTTATTTGTTTTTAGAAAAATAAAATAAAAATATAATAGTTAATACTATTTGTCCTACTTCCAATACTACTCTTACTTTCTTACTTTAAACTTCTCACTTTTACCCAAACTGGTTTTAATCTCTTTGATCCTTACTATCATAATCAATTCCATAATCTCTACCACCCCTTCCTTCAGCCTGAGTCAGACGATTTTTCCTTCTGTGGTTAAAGGATTCTGGTAAGTCCATATCGGTAAAGTCCAAAGGTAAAGTGAGTAGGGAACTGGAAGGTTTTGCATGCTCTCCAGTTGCACAAATACCAGTAAAGAGCTTATCAAGTTCATTGAAGTAATTCAATATTGTTGTTTGAAATTCCTTTACTTTGTTATAGGCCTTTATTTTGTTTTAGTTTTAATTTCTCTATCTACATTGTTACTTAATTAAAGAATAATAACTTACACTTAGGTATCATTTCCAAACATCATCTGGACCGATTGGAAGCTTTCTTTCCTCATTCCATCCAAATCCTGAGTTGTTTTTGTAAGCCAACAAAAACATCATATTTTTTCTTCAGCTTTATATACTATTAGTATTTGTATTTAAAACAATTTTCAAGTCAGAATTAACTTTCTTACCAAACCAAACTTGTTTTTCAACTGTTGCAGGTCAATTGACCTTCCATGTCTTCCATTCAACTCCACAAGAACCCGCATGGAGGACTCTTTTTTGAATCCATTTTCAGCCCTTTTGCCCAATCTGACCTCTCATAGAAGGCCTTCGATCAATGTTTTTTCCATCTCGGATGACCAAGTTGCTCACTCTCCGACTGTTCGTTGTATTAACATATTTGGCAATTGTTAGGTTTGGTTTTTACTCTGTAGTATTTTCTTTCATATGATATATGGTGGTTGCTATCCACGAGCTCCTTTAGATACTGGCACCGCTAGGGTGGAAAAAATTTTCCCAAGCCACATGCTTTGCTAAAACCGTAAGATACTTTCCTGCTTGACATGAAACTCAGAGAAACTGATTTGGGAAACCCTTGGTTCAATATCCTCACTGTAGCCGAACAGACCCTTAGTCTACTGCAGACTAGTTACTGCTAGCAAAAGGAATAAAAAATCATAATCTGCAACATCCGCTGCCCTAGTACAGTAGTAGATCGACTACCCTATCGAGAGCATCATGGTATGATACTTGTACCAAGTGCTCCACGCTGCCCGCGTGGGCGGGCATATCTCCGGTATTGGAAACACATTCCCGTGCTTCACTGTATACCCCATCGTTCTCTCGATCTCTCAACCAAGTTTGGCCGGGTTCCAAGGCTGCGATATGCTTTAATCTCCACTCTCCCACATGCACTCTCTTGTGCATCACAACTTCTCCTCTTCACTCTCGCCAGCGCCATCCTTGCGATGCTCATATCATCTCTGAGAATGCCAATCTCACCTCGCTGCTTGTTACGCAGGGTCGTCAAAGGCGTTGCCATTGGTCCTTCTCACCTGCCTCCTCCCCTAATCCCCACCCTATCCCAACGCGACACAAACTTTATTTCCCCGCCCTCATAATTCTCCTGTGAAATTTTCACCGCAAAAATCCGATTGCTGGCATCGACAACTCTCCTCTGTCCCTCTTACCATCTCTTTCTTGTTCCCCATTTTCTCTCTGCCTCCTCAGCTACGTCAGTGCTCCTCCTTCTCGGATTACTCACCGGGCTCGGCACCTCGCTCTCTCCCTTTCCTGTGCCTGCCCCATCATTTCGTATCCAAATCATACCTACTTCCTCATGCCTACTGACTGTGAGGTATACACTTAGCACGAATGTCCTCTTAATCCGCCCCTTTGCGACCTCTGCACTCCACATATGTTACAATTATAACTGGGTGCTACGATGAAGTTCGCAAAGTCAGTATCTCCATCGGGTGACGACAGTGCCGTTCGCTCGCGTGTGGCTTTTCTTTTTTTTACTAACCCTTCCATTTACACCTAGGTCTTTGGAGGAGCTTATGGTCCCGGAGTGGAGCTCACAATATATACAATATAAGGTATCCGTTTTTTCACAAGTTTGGAATGAGTTTAAAATGGTCCCGGACGCTGGTGCCACCATGGTCTATGTTTCCATGTTAATCCTTGAATTCCCCATCTATCGATATTTTGTTTCCGACACTCCGAACTCTTACTTACACCTACCTAGGTTGGCAAGAAGAAAATCAAGGCTGCCGCAGCTGACATAAACCAACTATCGTCCCGCGCTCCCGCCCGTACAGGTTTCTCGCGAACACGTGAACGTGCGACTGCCTATGCGAGAGATCATCTCCAACACCGCTGGCGAAGCTCCATCGGTCAAGAAGCCCCAAAAACCCCACGACCATCCTCAGCACCCCATTCCTCGGCCAGTTCTAGTACCCGCCCGCCTCTACCACACACCCCACGGCCAGTTACGGCAGACAGGCGCTCCATTCCTGCGGATGACGTCGATTCAGGCAACATACCTCCTCGTTCCCTGACAAATAGTTTGAAAGATGATGGAGTGATATCGGATTCACCTGGGTCGTGGATAAACACACATGGTGCTATCGGCGTTCGTGTCTTAGCAATGTCGGCATCCCGGTCAGCAGAGTCCCATTTGTTCTGCCATTCCGGCCGCTATACCGATGACCTCCCCTCAGTTCCACCTGATCTAATGCTCCCGGATCCTATTCAGCCACTTCAACCCCTCATTGAGCTTGGCCCTGAGACCAACATTCCTATCAATCCCAACCCTCCGGTTCAGCCCTCGCGGCCAGAAAGTATCGGGTTAGCCGAGGATATCCCACCTCTTCCTAGTGCTCCCCTCCCACGCGATCCCACAGGGGGCCACCGACTCTCCAATATTACCGCCCGTGCTTTTAGACCCCTATCGACAAGCTTTCTGCGACGCTCCGTCATGGCTAGTCCACGGCCATTTGTAAACCGTTTGTCCTCCTTCTTCGCCGCTCCATGGCAAGCACCTGACAGCTCCACAATCGATATCACCGAGGCCCAATTGGGGGCGTCTGCTGAATTCCACAAGTGGCTAATTATTGAGTTGAACAAGATCGAGAATTTTTACAAAAGGAAGGAGGCAGAAGCTATCATTAGATTTGATGAAATGAAGGAACAGTTAGGAATCCTAAGGTTAAGATGGTTAAAGGCCCACTCTCGGACCTATGGTGATCCAAATGGACTCGAATTTATTGAAGAGCAACTCGAAGATAATGCTGCGGATAAACAGTCCTCCGTCTGGAGTTCCACTGGTACCGAGAACTCGTCTAAACGCATCCCTGACCTCTCTGCCCACCGCAGAATTGGGTGGAAAAGCTCAATTGTGGCAATGACTGGGCTCAAACCACCACAATGCTCAAGCCAAGAAGTGATGGGATCAACAACTGCTCACAGGATGGACGCGCGGCGAGATTACGAGCGCCGCAAGCCAATTAATGATCCCACTCACCGGCTAGCGAAATCAAGGCTCAAGCGTGCATTCATCGAATATTATCGACGTCTTGAGCTTTTGAAATCCTACGTTTGTGTTAACAGGGATGCCTTCTGCAAGATAACCAAAAAATTCGATAAGGTTTCAGGTCTGCGAACCTCACCCAGGTTTTTCAATGAACATATTAACAAGAGTTATTTTGGTGGATCCGAGAACAAACTTGATGATTTGATCAACGAGACTGAAATATTGTTCGCTAGGTATGTAAATCTAGGAAATGTGCAAATTCCCGTTACGTGATCTTTCTAGTCGCTATTTTGTTTTGTTTGTTTTCTACTGTTTTCCAGGCTCTTGCTCTCGCCTTTGGTTCCTGCGGTTATCATTTTTATTGCCCTCTTTATTAAGAATTTCCCCTAAACTTGTGCTTCCTTGGCATTCTCTTTACTAACGTCTGCCCCGGATTTACGCTAGATTTTTCATGAAATCAAATCGGAAAGAAGCAGCCCTGAGACTTCGGACACGGGAGAATAAATCCGTCTATCACGCATCATTTCTTCGAAGTGGCTTCTATCTAGGATCTTCACTAGTGATCGGTGCCTATGGCTTGTGGCAAGCTGTACATCAGCTTAACAGCACGCGCCCTGGGGTAAGCCAGAAAACTAGTTATTTGCTACAGGTTTGTGTAATCCATTGTCCAATCCTACACCCGCTCTCTTCGCGATATCCTATCTAAACATCATGAATTAGCTCTGGGGCGGTGTCTCCCTGATCCTTTTTCAAATTCTCTTGTTTGCGATCAATTTAAGAGTCTGGGCAAAGCATAAGATCAATTATGCTTTCATCTTTGAATTAGATGCCAAATATCAACTGAACCATCGACAGTTTTTAGAGGTTTGCCCCCTTCACCGGTTGCGTATCCCAACACCCTTCTTACCATCTCCTAGATACCTTCGCTCTTCATTACAATTTTTGCGATATGCTTTTGGTTCAGTGTTTACGACTTCTGGCCCGATGAACTTGATATGATACACTTCCCCATTATTTACATATCCCTAGCTGCAGCGGTGCTCTTCAACCCAATTAAACGATTTTACTTCCGATCGAGAAAGTTCTTCCTGTTAACAATAGTGAGATTCCTGAATTGGGTGTTTCCTCGTCCGACTAACCATGCAATTGTAGGCAAGGGTACTCGTTTCCGGATTGAAGCGCGTTGAGTTTAAAGACTTCTGGGTCGCCGATATGCTTTGCTCGCAAACTTATGCGCTCGGGGTTTGTTGGCCTAGTCCATATTGCTTCATTTTCTGACATTTGCTGTCCAGAATATCTCATTATTCTTCTGTCTTTACATAAATAGCTGGGAGAATCCGGATAACTGCAGTTCTTCGCAATCCCGCCTGATGGGGTTTTTCACGGCTTTACCTGCTACATGGCGTTTCTTTCAGTGCCTCCGTCGTTACCGTGACTCCCGGCAGGTATTCCCACAGCTAGCGAATTGTGGCAAATACGCCTGCACTGTACTCCACTATGTTATGCTCAGCCTCTGGCGGATGGACCACAATAACACAGGCCTCAGAGCCGGCTTCATTGCCATCGCATCCATAAATTCCTTCTATACAAGTCAGTCTCTCCACCTTTTCCGCCTTGTGTTTTGGCTAACCTGACTAAGTATTTTGGGACATCGTCATGGATTGGTCACTTCTCAACCCATATGCCAGTTGGCCCTTCGTCCGTGATGCTGTTGGCTTTAAGAACCGCTGGGTCTACTATTTCGCGATGATGGCCGATCCCATTCTACGGTTCAGTTGGGTATTTTATATTATCTACGCAAACGGTATCCAGCACCCGGCGCTCTTCAGCTTTATCCTAGCTGCCCTAGAAGTAATTCGCCGGTTTATCTGGTGCTTTTTCCGCATGGAAAATGAGCACGTCGGAAAGTACACACCCGTTTCACAACCTTTACTCGAGTGGCTGAAATTGACTATTTCCTTCTTCAGTGTCGGAGCAAACCGAGCCTATCGTGACCCTCGCCTCCCGTATCGTTTCTCTCCTCCTGAACAAATTTGTTTACCATGCCCAACCCCTGAGGATACAGCCACCCCTCTCCTGATCACCACTTCTGTTCCAACAGTGGATGTCGAGAGGTCTGCAGTCAGAAGGCGCCATAGGAGTCGTAGACGCTCCGGTACTAAGACTTCTCCTGCTATGCAGGCGCTAGAACGGCTGGGTAGGACTATGACGACTGCGCACATGAAGGATTACGAACGGAAGCGCGGCGCGGCGGAGAGTGAGGATGAGGACGAGGATCTCGGTGTCAGCAGTGATGAGGACGATGGAGATGATTACTATGAAAGGACTGCTGGCACTGAGGGTTATTCTCCATCGAAAACAACGGATTTGCGTTAATTAATCCCACCCACTTCTGTTTTCTCGGATTTTCTTTTTCTCCCCCCTGTTTCCTCCACCTTGTTCATAAACTCTAGTTTGTCCCTGCCATTTACTTTGACATTTCCTGAAAGGTATCAAGTAGTGTTGTTTCCTCATTATTTCCGTCATCTCTGTTCTCCAAATTTTATAGCATTAATAAGGTTTCTAGAAGTGCCTAGTATATCCTTGTTTAAGAAACCTAACCATGTTCGGTAGAGGTGTTTATGCAGCTTTTCCTTGTATTTCTGTCACCTTGTTTTCTTCCCGACTTTCTCAGATAACATTTCATGTCCCGGCCAAGGTCCTCTATAATTACCCTTATACATAGTTTCAGAGCCCATGGTGGACACTTGGGATGCTTCGATGGGCTCTCGGAATGTAGCCACGATGTTTGGCGTATTGTAAAGTAACACTGCAATCCAGTTGGCTTATCCTTTCTTGGCAGACCGAGTACCGCAAAAACTCGCCAAACTCGCTATGCAGGGAGGAGAATTTTGGAACTAATGTGTAGCAATACAGCCAAGATCGTTCCAGTGACCAACCTATTTTCTCTTAGCTGATGAGACCAGCATCATTATTACAGTATTTTATGTAGGAACCGGCACTGACTATACAGCTATTCTCAGGTGTTATTGTCATTTT